TAAGAATGCCGTCTACTTTTTTCTTTCAATTTTTTAAGTGATGCTCTTCATCAAGTATTTGGTAGGCATGTAGTCACGCAGAACAAAATTGCTCACTTGTTAGTTTATGCTCATAACGTAAGTGGCATTTTACCATAGTAGTGAAGAAGAGTTTTGTTCTTGCATCACACTGTGAATTCGAACTTCGTCGACTTTCTAATCTAACAAATCTATACAAAAAAATTCATGCTCATAATGTTATAATTTGAATAAAACAATCACACTAACCACCACAAAATGGCCTAGTAGTTGGGACAAAGTTTAGGTCTGCATTTCACACGACACATTTTGAGTTCAATTTCTAATGCTGGTGAACCGTATTATAATTATTTAAAAAAGCTGAAATGTTCTTGTGAGTCTTTTCAGTTTTCAAAAAAATAGACTACTCATAAATTACTATGCTGACTTAGTGTTAGTGTTTCAAGTACACGTCATAAAAGTAAACAGAATAAAATGGAAGAAAAAAAAGAGGAAAAAATGAAAGGGCAAAAAAAGAAGCAGAAAGGACAAAATTAGAAAGTGGCATAAATAAATTAATAAATAAGTAGGAAAGCAAAGAGGTATGGGTTTATGGCTGTTGGGTTTGCTTGCTTAATGCAGTCACACCCGCCTTTTTCGGTTTTTTTTCTCTTCTCTAATCATCGGCCTTTACTTACCCCACCTCCCCATGTGCCTTTGGTTCTTATAAATCTCCCTCGCCACCAACAAATGTAATCATATTACAACACTGACACACTGTTAGTTAATAACACCTTTTCGAGATTTGGGTTTTCTTCCAAAACCAAATCTTGGAAATGGGTTCGATTCGTATCCGGATTTCTGTCTGAGAGTTTTGGTGAACGGAGAGTGTCAAAAGACTCTGCCAATGGAGCGCTTGCCGGTTTCCTCCACCGCCTCTCTCCGCTTCTTCTTCTTCTTTCTGGGTTCTACTAGCTGCGTGTCGGGTCTGACTCGGAATGGACTCGGACCCACCAGAGACCTTCTCAAGTTTAGTCTAGGTACGTTTCTGAATTCGGTTTTTGAAACGGGTTGGATCTCGCATGCTTTTCCGGTTGCGGGGAGGATTTAGTGGTAGAAGAATTGGAAAGTTGGATTTTCTGGAGCCATTGTTGTTTTTGGTTTCGAGACAAATGTGAGAATACATAACCTTCGGGCGCAATTCATTTCACTTTTGGTCAGCAACCAAACAAGGCCGATGCTTTTTCTGTGATAAACCAGTAGCCTTGGAGTAGCTTGAACTCAAATGCTTATTTTCCTCTGGTTTTTCTGTTTGCTAAAGTTCTGAGTGCTTTTATTTTTCAGACGCAAGCTCGAATTCCCCTTCTGTAGTTTGTGTAGATTAGATTAGAATATCGTTCGAATAAAAATGTTTTGAGTATTTTTTAAGTCTAAATGGTTGAATCTCAGCTGCTCAAAATCTTGCAACTTTCTAACATTGTAATTTTTTGACCTGTGTATTTGCAGTGGATGAAAGTCCGGGGTCGTGGAAAAATGGGATCTCGGAGACTGCTCGATCTCCAGGGCCTTCAAGCGATGCACCGCAAGGTAGGCTTGTTTTGGCGGCGAAAAGGACCAACAGGCCGGATATTCTCAGAAGGTTTAAGCATTATCGGGGAGGTTGGGACATTGTGGATCGGCATTACTGGGCTGTAAGTCTTGATTCCTTGTTGCATTGTTTTGGTGGACCTCCAGTATTGGTTTAAAGATGCAGAATTTGGTTGTTATGTCACGAATTTTTTGTTCTTTCTTTTACCTTATTAATATGCTATTTTAGGGAATAAAAAAAAGGATAAATTTAGTCACCGCCCATGGTGGTAATGTTTACCACCCTATTCATCACCGTTGGATGATTTTATATTTTGAGATTTGTGTCTATACATTGTACAGATCTCGAAATTAAACTCATCTAACGGTGATAAATGAGAGTGGTGAGCATTACACCACTTGAGGGTGGTGTGAAATAATCCCGAAAAAGTGATGCTTGTTACAATGCGAAGGTTTTAACTGATAAAGAAATAGTGAAATCCATCTTTTGATGTCCCTTCTCGTTCCATTGTTTTAAGTTGTGGTTACTTACAAAGATAAACCACTGCTTTGTGAATAGGAATTTTGAAGGATTATGTTGTTACTTGTACGTTTAAGTTTACCATCATTTCCGTTGTAATGTGGTCGCTATGTTTCTGCAGTCTGTTGGATTTACAGGTGCTGTTGGTTTCATTATTGCCGTCCTGTGGTTTGTTGCTTTTGGCATGATACTGGTGGTTCATCATTGCTGTGGATGGAAGATAAACATTAAAGATGAAGGATCACACCGCTTGCAGAGGATATGCTTGATTATGCTACTGGTCTTCACATGTGCTTCAGCGTAATGATCTGAACTTCGTATTTTTGGCTTAAGATTGTATAATGAGGATTTTTATGTAGTGTAGGAAAGTTTTCATACTATGGTTAGGCAGCACCTGATAGTATTGGCCATCTATGTCTCTTGTGCCCCAGCTCTAACACGATAAACTATATCACACAGGACTGGATGTATTCTTCTTTCTGTTGGGCAAGATGAATTTCATGACGAAGTGATGCATACTTTAAATTATGTTGTTAACCAGTCAGACTACACTGTGCAGACCCTGAGAAATGTCACAGGGTATCTGACCCTTGCAAAGGCTATTAACGTGGCCCAGGTATTCTTACCTTCTGATGTCATGGATGATATTGACAAGCTGAATGTGGATCTGAACACTGCAGCGGACACACTAACGGAGAAGACAAGTGAAAATTCTGTTAAAGTAAAAAGAGTCTTCAATATTGTGTATGTGTCCATAAACTTCGGTTCTACACTTTAATTAATGGGTTATACTGACTCCCCATGTTTTTAGTGGACTAATTTTTAGTTGATTGTTGCAGGCGTTCATCTTTAATCACCGTAGCAGCAGTGATGCTTCTCTTAGCTGTGATTGGTCTTTGTACGTAACAACCTAAACAACCTGATGAATGAAATCTATTATTTATTCCTCTTGTTTATTGGTATTTTTGCCTACTTTCAATTTCAACTAATTGATGTATCTTGTTGCAGTTCTGTCCCTCCTTAGGCACCAACATGCGATCCACATGTAAGTTGCCCTTTTACTCGGCCGTTTTGCTGTGCTTGTACTAATTCTACGACTCTTCACATTCTGGGGTGTTTTCATGTTTCTGTCTGACAAAGCCATGATGTTGTTGCAGATTTATTGTTAGTGGATGGCTACTTGTGGCAATTACATTCATTCTTTCCGGAGGTTTTGTTATCCTCAACAAGTAAGAATATGTAATCTTTGATGGAAATGTTTCTGTTTTGGTATATATTTGCTTGTCTAGTGAATCAGTAATTCAACACATTTCTATGGTGATTGTGTTTCAGTGCTGTTTCCGACACCTGTGTAGCCATGGAAGAATGGGTAGAACATCCTCACGCCGAAACAGCACTTAGCAACATCCTTCCATGTGTTGACCAGAGAACCACGGACAAGACCCTTAGTCAGAGTAAGCAGATTATCATTGACATTGTAAATGTTGTCAACCAGTTCATCTATACCTATGCCAATACGTACCCTTCCCCTGCAAGTCCATACCCATACTATTACAATCAGTCGGGGCCTCTGATGCCACCTCTCTGTTACCCGTACGATTCTCAGCTGAGAGACCGACAGTGTGGGGATCAAGAGGTGTCTATTTCAAATGCTTCTTTGGTAAGAATTGTCGACTTTGACTATTAATTTGGTGTCTTTGTATATTCTACTGGAAGCTGCTTGATTTGTGGAATTAATAGATTAGAGAAACAATTGACGATGGCTTGCTTAGTCCCATCTATTTGGTTGTGTGAATTCTTCAGGTTTGGCAGAACTATATATGTGAAGTCTCAGCATCCGGTATGTGCACAACTGTCGGAAGGGTGAACCCGGACATCTACAATCAGCTTGTTGCAGCTGTTAACGAGTGCTATGCACTTCAGCACTACACCCCGCCATTACTGAACCTCCAGGATTGTAATTTTGTTCGAGACACATTTCGAACAATCACATCAAGTTACTGTCCTCCACTGGACCATTACCTGAAAATTGTGAATGCAGGATTGGCCCTGATTTCAGTTGGAGTCTTGCTGTGCCTTGTTCTCTGGATACTTTTTGCAAACCGCCCCAGAACGGAGGAAGAGTTTGCAAAACTATCCTTACCAATAAAAGGCAGGAGCAAAAGTAGCAGTTCCGGCAATAATACCAATAATAGCAGCAGCAGCAATGCATTGTCATCAGACACATCAAATGAAGTCTAGTAGTACTAGGTCTCAAAGAGTAGAAATTGGTTGTAGAATTAAGGTTTGTTATCGTCATTATTTTTCCGAATGAAATATCAAAAAGAAAAACCGAGTGGAGCGAAGTTCCATTCTGATGAGAATTCTGGTCCTGTATCTGGTTTCTTGTGTATAGTAAAAGCAATTTAGATATCGTTGATCATCTCTGTCTTGCCTTTTGATTCCGAGTATGCGTTCATCTCAGTTTTGAAAATTTACAGGTACCAAATTATCGTCGACAAAATTAAACAGTTGAAATCAGAGGTACTGCAGAACTTGGTATTGTTTCAGAACGAATAGATCATCGTTCAGTCGACGAAAAGATCACATTTTCAATTGAAATTATCAAAGTGAAGCTTGAGCATTTTACTAATCTACTGAATTTGCCTCAAATTTGCTCACAAAATAAATCATGTAAAAATACGAAGACTATGAATTTTTCACTGAATTGATCTTTTCATATGCTAATTTTGCCCCCTTTGAATCACATCAGATACAAAAGAACCAGTGAAAATTACAAGAAAAGTCACCAACTTTCCATCTAATTACAAGAAAAGCTAACGACCCAAAAATTTCTTCGGTAAAAAATCGAACTTGTTTGCAAGAAATTTCCAACAATTAGCAGAAGAAGCTGTTCTCAAAATTCAGTATTATCAAACGGCACCTCATCGTCGGTTCTTCCACTTCCCGGCGAAGACTCATCGGCATCTTCCGGCGTCTCTGGCATCACAAGAGTCTCGCGGAGGCCGTGAACGACGAAGGTGTCGCCGTAGTACATGTTGGCGAAGAAGACCGGAACTCCATTCAGTAGCAAAACGTCGCCTTTCCTCGAGATTGTGATGGCGAAACCCTGCATATACGTCGGAAGCACAACGCCGTCGTTGAAACCTGCCAAATCGCTCCACATCAGCCGGCACGGAACGACGTGTCGGAGAAAGATCGAGGATTCTTGCAGTGGGTTGTCCATCGCTTGGTCGAGAGGAGCGAACACGGTCATCGGATTCGAGTTCTTGAAGCCAAGAAGTTGCATATCGAGGAACGACGCCATGACATTGTAGCCATGGGACCTCAGCATCTCACTCGCTTCTTCGAACCAGGAAGCTCCGGGAAACCCAGCTGTGGCTGTGCCGTTGGCGGAGGTTGGTGGGGATGAAGACCCACAAACCGGATCTGGAAGGGGGATCCGAGTCGGTGTCGGGAGATGAAAATTGAGGTCGAAGAAGTTTTCGATTCCGAAAATGATTAGGAACCCGTCGTCGTAGATAGGCGACCCGGAAGTGATCTTGACGTTGTTGAGCGAAATTGGAACGCCGGAGGGGGGCGTGGTGACGGAGAGAGAGTGGCCGGAGAGTAAAGTCGGGATCTTGGTGCCGGGGGGGAGGGATTTGAGGGTTTGGAGGGGCAGGGGAAGAGGGCAGAAGTGGTACTGGAGCAGAGAGAGGGCAGGTTGACCTGATTTGGTGAAGGCGGAGTCCGGCGGAGCGAAGATGGTAAGCGAGGGGGACTGAGGGATGAGGGACTCGGAGACGAGCTCAAGAGTCATCGCCATGGAGACGTAGCCGGAATCAGAGAGGATTTCGGCGGCATCTTGGACGGCCTGGGCCGGGAGGGCGGATGAGAAAGAGAGGAGTGAGAGGAGGATGATGAAAACGAGAAGCGGCTCCGCCATTGATGGGTGGTTGTGTGGAGGAGCTTCAAGAATCAAAAGGAGGAAGTTTGGTTTCTTGGAGTGGGATTTCGTTGGACTGCAGTTGCAAAGTGCGAGTGAGAGTGACAGTGGCATTCAATGTAAATTTAGAGACGGTTGGTTCTTGAATTTGGCGGTAAAAAGTGGACGCGTGGCGTGAGTGGGTTTGTTGATTCTCTGGTGTTCGTTACGAGGAGTTTGTTAGGCGGTTTGTCTTCAACTTACTGTAATACCCCTTTCACATGAGCATCTCTTCCGGGTTGAAGTGGTTGGCAGGCAAAGTCTCCGACTCAGACTAGTAAGGTCGGTGAATTAGGTAGGAAAGCGTAGGTCAGCGCTGTTGAGATAGAAAAGCTGACGGATGTGGTTCGCGATGGTGTCGAGAAGGTTGAGGGCCACCGGTGACCGTGCTTTCTTCGTTGCGCTCCCCCTTATTGTTAGTCCTCTTACCATACACCACTACCACCAACCATTAGCACAACTTCGAAGAATAACTTTTTTACTGTATACAACTATGGATGTTGTTCATATGCGACTCCCGCTAGCCGTAAAGTACTGGGTTCCAAACCTCACCATTGAAACGATTTAAGTTGCTTCTTAAGTTTAGTCCAAACTAAACTGGAGTTAAAACTCTGGTAGTGAGGTCATATCTCTGTCTTGAGAAAATGCTTTCTTTTAGCAGGGTCTAGGGGGTCTCGCAACCCTCGAAAAAGACTCTCATTGGTGGGAGGATTCATTCTTTATTCCTGCAGCTTAGAAGCCTCAAGCTCACCCCCCTTAACCAGACCCGCCTAGTTTGAAAAGGCTCAGCAAGAGGAAGTCTCTAGTCCAGTCTAGCGATCATGTTTGAATTCGAACTAGTTGGGGATTCGCACATGACTCTACACAATTTCATGATGCAAAAGTCCGACTAAGCCCTAAAATGAGTAAGACAACCAAGAAATAAACCTAGTTGATCAAAAAGAATTTCCGCTTTTGACGCTATCACTTCTAGCAAAGCTGTGAGTTCATGAGTAAGTGAATGAACGAACCATGTTCCTAAAAGGAGTCCCCCCCCCCCCCCCAAAGCCCCTAGGTTGGGCGCTAGTGCTTTACTAATACAATAGTAAGGCCCTTTCGCTGAGCGAAGCTGCACCCTTCTCGAGCCTACTTAAATAGCTTATGCTTACAAAGGCCTAACCAGAGCACCAATTGAACCAGTCCTAGCCAGCATCCTTGTTATTTTGAGGAGGCATTCATGTTTATATTACAACTCTAATCTGTATGTCGTTCGTCTGTAGCATGTAGTCGAACCTACTTTAAAGAAATTTTTTACCCAAAAAAAAAAACCAAATTAATACGGACCGTTGAATTATATGACAATTGGAAATCCAACGACCATATTCTACCAGGTGTTCCACAACATGCACCATCGTCCCGACATTGCTTTTTTGTCTCTTGACGCGCCACCCACGCTTGTGTAACACATAAAAATAAGAACGTGTTTGACGTTACCATGACATTTAGATAAAACTCAGACAAGAGGGTGGGCAAGATTTGCCTGATGGCCCGGGTTTGTCCGGCAGGCTTGGGCCCACTCAATTCCCCGTCTTTGGGTCATGGGCTGGAGCATTTTTCTTGAGTTTTTGGGTAATAATTGCCTATTTGCTCGACTTTCAGGTATGAGCTGGACATGCTCGTATGAGAATGTCTAATCATCAAACCGATAAAGGATTCAATGATCGCCATTTAATAATTGAAGTATGATGCATTGCATGAGAAAGTCGATCGTCAGCCCACTTACTCAACTCTCCATTCCATCTCCATCATGCAACATGCACCAATTAAACGTATGCGTCTTATTGACCAAAAAAAAAAAAAAACGTATGCGTCTTAATTAGTCCACGTACATTAGTTATTTAATTTATTTACGCAAATAACTTAGAAACTAATTGCTTCGACAAGTCAAATAATAATATTTGATGCTCTTTCAGTCGACGTCCTGCAAAATCCTATCAATGTTTGTTGATCAACCACACCTTACCTTCTTAAAGTACACCTAGAAAAAAAAGATAAGACCGAATTATTAGTCTAATGTTTTAATTTAAATATGGTTTACGTCACGAAAAAGGAAATGAAAATTGGTTTTGGTGATGCGACAGTTCAGGACTCGGATGTGGCTGGCCCTCGTCCAAACTCCAGCTTATGGGCAAAACCCTAATGTTAAGTTAATGGTCAATAATTAATTAAAATATTAATAAGTCGTGATAAAGCATCTAATTATGCATGAATATCTGTAACTAATCACTTTGAGTTTGAGGTTTGCATGTTTAGGTTTCTCCTGGCTACCTCCATGCACGGAAAAAGGAAATATATGGTCCTAATAACTAGGGAAGTCAGAAATTATTCGGGGATGAGCAAATTTAAAAGAGTGCAAAGTTTGAAAATATGATAGCCACCAAATTCTTTTATGGTAATGTCCATAGTTTATCACTATTCACTACAAACAAGTTACAATTGTTGCCGACGAGGTTTTATATTATGAAAATGTCACATAATAAGGTCATTATCAATCAAAGCAAATACATATCTCAATGTAAATAACCATAATATCACTAAACCATTGATCTCTCATTTTGTTACACAATTGTGTTTTCACAATCTTAATAGCAAAAAAAGCCCTCTCCACCAAAGCGCTTGCGATCGGTAACACCAAAACCAATGTAAGAAGTTTATACACTAACTTGTAACATCTAATCTGTGGGACTGTTACCAACTAAATTATGATTAATCAAAGAGATTAGGAATTAATTTGATCATTGTCAACCAAACACAACAATTAGGGGAGAGATTTTTTAGTGTGACCAGTACATGGGATGGTACACCACGTGTCACTACATGAATGGTGGGATATGTGTGTTAAAAAGTTAATAACTTAAAAAATAAAATTTCCCACCACTCTTATTAAAACACGTGATGTACCACTTATATTCTTGTCACAATAAAAAATTTCTCCAATTAGAGGAACTCACTAGAGCTGCTCCCAAAGGCGTCGACCAAACACGTGTCAAACATATAGAGCTTCGTATAGAGCCAATGTTGCCTTCATAAGTCAAAATGTCATGTAACTCGGAGATCAACGTCAAACTTACCTAAAAATAATCTTTGACTGGTTGCCTACATGATCTCCTCTCCTCCACTCATTCTACTTTAAGATTTGAATTGCGAGATTGGATATCATACTTAAATATATTTAATATAATTATCATCTGACCGTCAAGTATATTTATGTGAATATATATATTTAATGCAATCATAAATATTATTATTGAGATGATGATTGAGTTAAAATACATGCAAGTATTGTAGTCAAATCATTAAATTGCATATATTCATCTTAGACTAAATATTGCGACAAATTTACATTTTATCAATATGATGTTCTGAATTAGTCCAATTTACGGGAATGTTCAAACTTATTGCAAAAATAGCACATTGCATTGATCAACTGATCTCCGACATATGCCTTTGGACAAAAAAACCTTGGTTAAGCAATTTCGACGCAACTTTTCTTTCTTCCACATATTCATGTTTAGTTATGTTCTTCGGCTTTCATTTGATTTACTCAATACAAACTTCATAGTTATTAGACGTATGCAGATGAAAAAATGGTGTACACAAATGAAAATTACCTTGAAAGTTAAGTTGATGAAAACCTAAAACGGCAATAACGGTTAAAGTAAAGGAATCGTGGAAGTCGCAGAAGCTTGGCCTTCCCGTTAGATAGAATCTCTCTCTCTCCTCTCTCTCTCTCTCCCTCTCTCTCTCTCTCTCTCTCTCTCTCTCTCTCTCTCTCTCTCTCTCTCTCTCTCTCTCTAAGCTTACTCGTTATCCATATATAAATACAACACATCAACATGAACATCTTGCACAATAAATAAGAGAGAGAGAGAGAGAGAGAGTTGTATTAACGCCACTAACTTAGAACACACATGTTAATTAATCTTGGATTAAGATGCAATACCATTTGTGTTTTGTGAATTGAGCTCCCACAAACAAGTCACCCAATCTCTTTGCTTCCAGAGTACCCTAACTTCTTCGTGTACGTCTCAGATTCTTCCTTCCCTGTTTTCTTGATGCCTTTGAGGCCTTAGTTTTCATAAAGGTATCAACTTTCTGGCATCTCACTTTGTTCTCTTTTCCGGGTACTTTCTTCTTCCTTTTCTTTTTTGTTCTTTTCGTTAATCATTGAGATTTCTCTACCTTTACTTAATTTTGTTGTTTCATAAAGGGGCACCTCTGTTTTGGTTCAATTTTTAGCTGGTTCGTGTCGTTTCGAGCTTCACTGTTTTACCTGTATCCATATGTCATACGTACCGATAGCCGCGTTACAATTGTTAGATAGAGTGCCTTCCAAATATGTTCAAACAATTTAAATCCGTGCACGTTCCTTCGTTGAATTCTCCTTCTTGTTGTAGTGAATTATGTATTCTATATTTTTCAATATAGCTCAATTTGTCATGTAGTAACCAAAATGGATTTGTATATTTTCTAGGGGGTTTCCTTGAAACATTGTGAATTCCTCTGTTTGTTGTGGAGATTTTAAGGATGGGGGATCACTTTGTATTGTTGGTGGATCGATTGATCACTGAAACCACGCTAGAAGCTGCGATCGAGAGCAGAAACAGATCGATGCAAGCCACATCCTCAGCGCTCGAAGATGGGAAAATCGATGTCTCTTGTCAGAAAATCGATTTGAAAGATGTCTCCTCCACTCGTGGAAAGCTAGCAGAATGCAGGATATGCCAGGATGAAGATCAGGATTCAAACATGGAGACGCCGTGCTCTTGTTGTGGCAGCTTAATGGTCAGTTAATCTCATTGCCAATCCCCTACTTCTTAAACTTCAATTTTGTTGTGTGACATCCTTGTCGTCCTTTCGAGGATTAATGGATTCTAACCAGAACAACTCAAAAGCTAAAGATGTATCGTTCATTCCCCGTCCCACATTTGAATTTCGTGCGTGTTTCCGTGGTTGAAATTGAATTTAACTGGAGTCCTGATCTTGCAGTATGCCCACAGAAGATGTGTACAGAGGTGGTGTAATGAAAAAGGTGACACAGTTTGTGAGATATGCCATCAGCAATTCAAGCCTGGTTACACAGCTCCTCCTCCGCTGTTTCAATTGGGGCGTATACCTATGAACTTCAGGTAAATTATTTTACCAATCTCCAAGCGATGAGGCTTTTCGTAAGTAACTCTCTTTCTGAATAAATTTTTGTTTCAAAAACAGGGGAAACTGGGAGATTTCAAGAAGGGACAGTCCGCGAATCATAGCAATGGTTGCAACTGATCGCGATTATCTTAACCCTGGCTATGATGATTACTCAGCTTCTACTGCAAGAAATGTTCTGCTGTCGTTGGCTTGCTTTCATTGTAATCTCTCTTCCTCGAGCAAATAATAAGCTGATGAATTCTGCATTTTCTTATCCTGGTGATCATATCTGAACATGTTTTGGCTTTGTTTCATGGTGTGCAAGCAGTTCATGGTTCTGCTTATTCTCCGGCATACGCTTCCTCTCATCATCAGCAGAAACAAAGAGTGCTCTCTCCCACTTGTTATGGTAAAAACATTTATGAATTAGCTTCAACCCTGCGTCATGAATTTCAAGATCAACGAGGTGCAAGGTACAACATCTGTAAATCTAACCTTCGATTAATTTCTCGCTTGTGTTTGTGCAGTTGTTATTGTTACGAACTGTTGGGATTGTACTGCCGATCTATGTAATGTTGATGGCAGTAACTGCTCTTCAGCGTCGGCGAAGCCACCAAGTATGTACATGCATGTTCTCTTCCTAGTATTTGTGTATGCATGTGATATACAGTAACGCTAACCAATTACTATGTTAACAATGCACTAACTAGTTCATATGTTGATATGGCTGGTGAAATTCGATTAGGATCTTTCGAGTTCATCAGCAACCTCCTCAGATGAAGAAACAGAGCCAACAATCCTGCAGCTTGAGCCGGAGCCCCAGCCCCATATCATTCGTGTTCGCTAAATTCAGTCCAACAGAAAATCGAAGTGATAAATTCGAAAGTAAGAATCTGGTATTGACTTCGTAACCATAAGGAGAAAGGAAGTTTCACAGGAGGCATCAATCAAGGCGGAAAAAGAACGGATCGAAATCCGCCTGCAAGGCTGACAAATCAATACTACTGTATATAAACAGAAATTATACTGAGAAAATACTAGTCAAGCAACCAAGGCTGACAAATCATATGTAAGTTGGAACGTAAATACTACCAACATTCGGTATATAAAAGGTTGATAGAGCAAAAGAAACTGAATAATATATCATCTTTTTACATTCAAACTCGGTATTTATTTTGGAGGTGGATATTCCAATTCGTACACATCTCTGTGAGAAATCATGTCAAAGTCTTCATCTTCCCCTACCACATCGTAGTCTTCGTCTACCACTTCGTTGGAAACAATCACATCAAAGTCTTCCTCTTCCACTTCCTCTTCCACTTCCTCTTCTTCTTTCTTTTCCTCTTCCATCGCAATCTCTGGATCTGTTTTCCGGAAGAGATGCTGCATCATTCCATCCAAGGAGAGTCTATGGTTCACTTTCCTGGGGCCCTTATCTGTATTTATAAAACACGAAGCTTCCTCATATGAAACAAAAGCATCCAAGCAAGCGTAGCGAACCTGAGTAGGATCAAGGTACGTTTTGTCCCAGTCACTGTTTCTCACACTATTAGGCTTCTCAGGCTTCCTAACCTCGATGAATTGGCTAATGTCGATCGGATATGCCATGTCCAATTTAAAGTGCTCATTCAGTTTCTCCTTAACGTGCGTCATTCTCTCGCTAACAAAAACACAACTCTTGTTGGCAAGATAGTTAATGATCGATTGCGGAACCGCGTCACAATCCTTAAACTGAAAGATAAGACATCTATAATCATTCCCACCACCCTCCTCGAGGGAAAAATATTTTGTTCCTGGAGAGCGTTGGACCGTGCAGAATTGCAAAGTGGAAGGGCGAGTATGATCTCCTGTCAACGATTTGGAACGCCATTCTATGTCGAGTCCTATGATGTTGATATTGTCGTCACGGCTTCGCATGCATCCTACCCAAGAATCCACGACTTCGGGTGTTCTGGTGACCAAGGTTTTGATGGTGGTGCTGCCAAAAACCACGTCGTAAAGCTGGTGGGTATATCTGTACTTCACTGACCTAATGGAAGATTTGGCATCTGCAGCGGGAGAGGCCATCTATATGGAATGAAAGAGATCATGTCAAGATACAAACTCAGGAAATATCTTCGTAACGAATGCCTCCCAAATCAAAATACAAAAACTCTAAAAATATGAAGGAACCATCTGAATTCTGCATGGGAAAAAACCCTACTACCAAAGAGCATCAACAAATTAGAGAGAGAAAGAGGAGTACCTGTTGGATTTATCCAATATAAATCAACCTTTAAGTGGTCTACTACATGTAATAGGAATGTAATATTGGAGAATAATGTTAATTGTGATTTGATCTCTTAAAGATATCAATCCTATATAAGGTGTCTTATATTGGAAATAGGATTGATGGAATCCTTAATTGAATATGATTATGATACTTGACTTGGAGGCTAATAAAGTAAGTTTAGGTTTCCTTTATGGAAGGAAACCCTAGCTTTTAGCCTATATATAAACACCGGTCCCTGCTAACCCTAGAGACGACAACTAAGGCTTCCCATAGAGCTTTGTCATAAAGCTAGGAGTTTACAGAAGAGTTGGTGTTTTCTGTTTGTCACGGCAAATATAAAGATTAGAGTTTTATCGATTACGTTTTGCTTGCATGGCTGCTGCATCTTCAATAACTACCATTGGAATCAGGTCAGTCACTCCTTCGTTTGTGTTTTAATTGTATAACCTTATAAGGCTAACAATTGGTATCAGAGCCACTGGTTATATGATTAAAACCTATTAAGATTGAAGTTTGATTAAAGTTGTCGAGAAAAAAAAAAAAATTGACAAAATTGATGCAGAATCAGGTTTCTTCGTCTTTACGGCGATGACTAAGAGCTGATTAAGAAGGGAAATCATGATTAGGCAATAGCATTGCGCAGACTTTTCTATATATATAATTCATTGTATTATTAAGTGTAGAGAAATACAGTTCACATGTCTTGAAAAATTTGTGCATTCGTTTAACCCACGACATCGATTGCCATGAGTGACATCATCATATTTGACCGCCGTATTCCTTTTCTCTTGCGGCAACACAAGGTCACAAAAGAGCATGGTTTTAATCTCTGCCAATTTTAACTGGATTATGCTAATTAAAATCATATCTATATCACCATGTTTTCGTTCAGGCTGAATAAAGTCATCTACCATAGCATAATGGTTTGTTTCATTGACTTCAATTTTCGTGATGGTTTATGGTATTGTATTTTGGTTGATATCTATTTGGTTGGATCCCTGAAGCTTAAATTGGTTATAAGTTTAAAATACACTTGCATGAGTGATGTGTTAATATTGCAGCAGTGCCGTCCTAGTAAAGAGGCCCATATGGTCGTCTCTCTTAAAGCCAACCATACACAAGAAAACACCTTCCCGAGAGAAGACTAGTGGTAACAAGCCTTTGGGGGTGATGAGTATACCTCCAAAAGTAGGCACTGGGGATCTATTTCCTTTTGTGAAGTACGGCTCATGCATTTATTCCACGTCATTTTTGTGTCTTCATATTTGGGTCACAAACTAGCGTTAATGAGCTGGGCAAATGTATAGGTTATATACATTTGTAATATCAAGTTTTTTATAAGCATGTGTACGCATTTACATTTGTTCTAACCTTGCATTGGAGAATTTCTTGAGATTCCTCTGCCGAGCAAGCCCAATGGGGAAGGACATCGGCACATGAGATCATGGTATGATATTTTCTTTTGGTCTTCATGTTCAGTTATATACAATAATGGTTGTGTTGGATTCAAGAACCATTGCTTGATGATCTAAGCAAGTACATGTAATTTTCAAAAGCCAATTATGCATATAGAGCTTGCATTGCACGTGTAAATTTTATCATAACACCAATATCCAAATTGTATGCATAAAGAAGGCATACCGAGAAACATTGTTATATGCATAGATTATCATACTCGTTTGAGACTGTTTTGTTGGATATTCCGACACTAGTGCAAGAGCATATATGTCGCCTATGGCTTCGCGTTTGAAAGGTAAATTGAATAAAGTTCAACTCCAATTACCTAATTATTACAATTAAGAGATGGGCATGAGATTTCGAATGTTGCTTGACATCTTTCTAAATGCAGGAGACGGAATTGGTTCACTTTTAAAGTGTCTCAATACTACTGTTGGTATATAGATTGTGCCTATATATATGATTATGATAACATATATTAAAGTTGCGTTTCAAGGATGCATATGCTAAGTTATTCACATATCAACTTTATACATGCTTGTTAGTGAATTTGATGTATTTATGATACATGAAAGTAAGTCATCCATATTTTGGTAAACATTTGTTAAGCAAATGGCGTGTATAGTGTTACTTGTATGGCTATTTTGGTTCAAGCATGTATGAGATGATGCAGTTTTGAACATTGCCGTGAGCTTGGAATGTGATGAATTGTAGCTTTTTGGTTAATCATGTGATTATAAATATGTTTACAAAGAAGTGATGAACATATGAAGGCATGAGGTATGTAATCCATTCAAAGTATGTGGCTTAATTGATAAGCATGAATTTTCAAACATGTATTATTGTTTTGTGGTTTTTCCCTATGCCTAAAGAATTTAAACAGTGCTTTGATTAGTAATTTTTTATGTCATAAGGGGAGAAAAAAAAAAAAGAAACTTTTCAAGGCTAATGTAGGGCATATACTGGAAATGTTTTCTATGGAAGAAAATAATTTTGGTAGTTCCTTTATATAATTGGTATTTACAAGGTTAATGCACGATTTTGATGCTAATGTTTTAGGAGCCTTGTACTACGGAAAGAAAGGTACAAAAGAAAAGGAACTCGTTTGACTTAAGAAAACATTTGAGCGATTTAGCTTTTAAATTAAAAGAATGTATTGTTCTCTCACATTACATAAAGTATTTCTATTAAGTAATTGACTCCATGACGATAAGTTTTGACATTCTTGTGGTGGAATAAAACTTGTTCTATATGTGATTAATCTCTTTCAAGTATGCTGTCAGGTTTCTTGAGATTAATTTAATGTCAAAGGGAGTTATGAAGGAATTAGTGCCATTTGTTGGCAAGACTCGAAGCTCGAACCAGGTTATCATAATTTTGTCACTTACAGTTAATTAATCCATGTGACTTCTTGTATTGTTTCAGGGCGGAGTTGACCAATGCCTTTTCAACTAAAGGAAGCCGCAACGGCTCAGTTGATGATGAGACTGTATTTTTGAGTTACTTCGGTCAACTTTGCATCTTAATTAGAATAAAAGGGATAATCTTCTTGCCTACAGGTGTGGATTACTTCTTTTAGTTTAATTAAGATGGCATAGTATGGGTTTTATTTCACAGAAGTTGTGAAAACCTTCATCTTGCCTACAGGTGTTGAAGTTTTTCATGAAGGAACTTTTGTGACATAAAATCTAGTACTAGAAACTAGTTAATTTTCTTGCCTACAGGTGTAAATTAATTTAGTTTCATGAAGTTTATTGGGATAAAGTTTCATGCCATTAGTGACAAATATTTCCACAATGAGCCCCATAAAAGGTTTTGGTTTGAAGGCATGGAAATCGGTTGCATCATGATGTATTTTGTATCTCTTTATGAGACTTGTTGATGCAAAGTGTTGGATCCATGAAGGTTAATCAATGATTGCTAAGGTACGCATTGTTTAAGTCTTATGCTTGTAAATCTTTTCAATTTGAATTATGATGTCGGTTTAGAGGATGAAATTTGACTACTAAAGTTTCCTTTGGACATCGAAATTGAAATGATATGAAATTGAATTTGTTATGGATATATAAATTCATGATAGATGCACATAATTGTTTCTGGCAGATTGCGTGTCTTGATTTAAATCGGGTGAATGACATGTCTAATGATCACCAAATGACCTGAATTTTGGATATGTTCAACATATAAATGTCTACTATGTGTCTGAAAATTTTCGTAATTTTCTGCCATGTATGTTAATTATGGTGAATTTACTAGTAACCCATGCTCGTATAGACAGTTTTTACTGGCAGATTGTGATGTTTTTTGAGACGTGACTTTAGACTACTATTTTGACCCAAAATGGCTCTGTATTTCTATTTTATGAAGATTAGTATGTCTTTTTTGATCAATATAAATTTGGTAGCAATCAAGCTTGTAAATTAATTATGATAAATTCTAAAGTAAGTGTAACTCATTGCTGAAATTCTGTTTGACAACTTATGTTGGTTGAGATGTCTATTTTATTATGTCTAAAATATAGAACAATTTTCTTTAGGAACATCTTTGAAAGAATATATTAACGAGTGTTTGCCCAAGTGGGAGAATTAGTGAACGAAAATTGGGCTTCACACTCATTAACTTATTTGCAAGTATAAACTCTGAAAACTTAGTGGGAGTTTTTTGAGCATTAAGCGGATTTGCATGAATTTATTAAAGCATTATTCTATCTTCCATGTATTTGTGTTACTTGAATAATAATAATATGTTTAAGTTGCACAAATGGCTACTTAGTATATGCGTACATTTTTCTGTTACTTGCAATCATTTGGATTTTTTGGTTGATCATTCGTTTTGAGGCTCATAAGGACTTAGCATAAATGTGGACTTATTAATACATATAAGATGGTTGTTAGATGCATGTTTTTGTGTAACAGTGATGAATGCTTTCATGCTTAATTGTACCTTTCATTGAGGTAATATGCATTCATTGACTAAGTAAGGCTATTCCCAAAGGCATATTTTCAAAAATATGATTAAAGTATTGATTTACAAATTAAGTAACGATGTTGCAGATCAGTGGGAGTTTGAGTTTCATGTTAGTAATGCCTTACAGTTGCAGATGACCTATAAGTATGTATAGAATCCATGTATTCATTTTAATCTCCAGTTGGATTCATTAAGTCACATTTTTCGTGTGCTAGTCAATCATCTGATAAAATATATATCAGATATCAAGTTGTTATCAAATTGCATATTAAATGGCATGGCATGGTTTATGTACTACATCAGTTGTGAGGATTTCCATCTTGCCCGCAGGTGTTGGAAATCACTATGAAAGTAACTGGTATGGTGCATAGATTAGTGTCAAAAACATATTAATTCATCTTGCTCACAAGTGTTGAATTAATTTGTTTTATGAAGTTTTGGGATATTTTACTTGGACATGTGCCTATTTGGTATTTTCAGTTGTGTCCGTTGGTTACAAACATTGTTTGTATTGTTATCGGTCTAATGAAACTGATGCATGATTGTTTTGGAGATGTATTCACACCTGCAGGTTATGGTGGTTTCATTAGATGAAGGATATCTGCATTGGCAGATTTAAGGCTTCGAAGAAGCATAAAGTGTAACTTGTGAGTTACAATAAGGTGGACCTGAGATGATATAAAGTAAGACATTTTGGTTAATTTAAAGTTTAATTTTAAAGTTTCATCTCTTGATCATAATTTGTGTTTCATGTGAATGAGGATCTTAGCATGTGTGATTATGAAGGTTCTGGGTGTGTCAACTCTACAACCTTGTTAGTTCCATGTTAAGAAATGCATTTGACAGAAGTTGCATTAAGGACGAGATGTAATCACTGTTACATGGCCACTAAAGTGACATTAGTCTCCAATCTCAAGTATAAACATGAATATTACATTTTGTAGACCAAGTGGGAGAATGTTGGATTTATCCAATATAAATCAACCTTTAAGTGGTCTACTACATGTAATAGGAATGTAATATTGGAGAATAATGTTAATTGTGATTTGATCTCTTAAAGATATCAATCCTATATAAGGTGTCTTATATTGGAAATAGGATTGATGGAATCCTTAATTGAATATGATTATGATACTTGACTTGGAGGCTAATAAAGTAAGTTTAGGTTTCCTTTATGGAAGGAAACCCTAGCTTTTAGCCTATATATAAACACCGGTCCCTGCTAACCCTAGAGACGACAACTAAGGCTTCCCATAGAGCTTTGTCATAAAGCTAGGAGTTTACAGAAGAGTTGGTGTTTTCTGTTTGTCACGGCAAATATAAAGATTAGAGTTTTATCGATTACGTTTTGCTTGCATGGCTGCTGCATCTTCAATAACTACCATTGGAATCAGGTCAGTCACTCCTTCGTTTGTGTTTTAATTGTATAACCTTATAAGGCTAACAGTACCTGGTTGAGGAGAGAGAGAGAGAGAGAGACGCTGTTAAATCAATCTCACAGAGATTCCAAAATCTCACAAAATTGTCTGCTTTCTCAAAAGCCAAAGGAAGGAGAGACTCAGAGGCTATGTTGCAACTTGCATCCTTAGCCGTAATGATGATATGATCTGTGATTAGCTTAATCACACTTAAGGATTAATTAGATGTAATGAGTTTTTTAATTGTTTTTTTAGTAAGTTGTTTGAGTTGCCAGCTGGCAAATGTTGTGTGGGTGGGTTGTATATGAGGAAGAGGATCCTCTCCAGATCCACTTTGTGGGGTCTTAGGAATCCTCATATCTTAGTCGTTCATCGTATATTGTACGACCAGTTTTCGCCAAGTACTATTTGTGCTTAATTTTAAATAAAAAAAATCAAATTAATTCTAACTGCACGATGCACGATGAATGACTAAGATGTGAGGATCCTTATAATCCCCACAATTTAGATCCGGATGGAATCCAAATCCGTATATGAACACACTTTGGGTGTGAAGCTTGTAACTGTCATTTAAATTAAAAATAATATTACAAAAATACTGGAGCTCAGCTTCGTCTTCTCTCTTCCTTCTTCCCTCCTCCATAGCTACCTTGAGCTACTGGCAGTCTAGCAGGTTGATTAAGGTCCTGAAATTTGGATCTTATCGAATAACATATTATGTGAAACAAAACTGGGCACGTGAGTGGGCTCAATTTTGCGTGATGGGCCCATGATTGGGCTCTATATCACTTGAGCTCCAATGTTGGTTCTTGACAAGTTTCATCGTCTAATCAACCACGATTTTTTTTATTTCATAGAAGTCATTCTTCTCTAACATAGCAACAACGTGGCAAATTTTAACATTTTCATTCAAAGTGTTTTTAACATGTCAATATACTCTTAAGGAGTCTTAATTTGGTATGGTGCATTTGCTCGTAATCCGTGATAAAATTTTAGGTTTAAGAATCACTTATCGTCATGTGGTATTATTAATCAGCATATTACAATACGAGTTTACTTGGTGGATACGTTATAGCACGAAGAAATTGGTAATCCCACGTGCAGTGCCAACAATTTCTATTCTTTCAACGGTACTTGATTGATGAATTGATCGTGATTTGAACAATGAAGAGAAACCCATTGAAATGGGGAAGAGCTTCATCTGCTTGCCATGGAGGGAGGGGTTGGGTCCATTTGCAAAGTAGGGTTCATCCTCCTTTCTGCAAGTGGCTCGGGTACATCCTGAATTTGGCACCGGAGGAAGCAATCTTTCGTCATTCCGATGTTCAAACCCAGAAGTTTTGCAACAAATCATCGACGAAACAGCATTCATACAATTTCACTCTTAATCATGAAGAAATTCTTGCGTATACTGGATATAACAGAATTAAAGAGCAATAACAAGAGTCTATCAAGACGATCGTTTTCGCAATCTTTGTCTAGATCCACGCCGAAAACAGATAGAAACACAGCCACATAGATCTAGAACAATCTCTTCCAAAATTAAGACGGGATGAATCTGTACAGCCATCATTATGTGTGGAAAATGAAAAGCTCAAATAGGGTACAGAAGAGGACCTCAAGCAGGCCAATCTCGAACAAGGTTGTATCGTGTTTTCCTACAGAGACTGATTTTCCACCCTCTGTTGCAACAAAATTAGCTCCAGCTTCTCCTCGGCCTGAAATTCGGTGGAAGAAAAATGAATAAGAAACTTTTAAAACCTCCTAACAATCTCTCACTCTCTCCTCTTTTTATGAAAGAGTTCATCACCCTCCTAATAATCAAATGTTCTTTAAAGAGTGGTGGAAATACTTCCGACTCTTCTGCTGTGAACGCCAGTAGCAAGCGAGTGCTCCGAATGCACAACTAGCAACAGCAATAGCCAACGCAGCCCCAAGAGGCACCACAAGCGCATTTGTTGAGGTACCAAGTCTTCAAGAGCCCCACTAGTCTCATCATTCCCAACAATACCCTTATCTTTGTAAAGAGAAACAAGGGTTTTCCCGTAATAACTGGTCAAAATTTTGAACACCTCATCCTTGTGCCAATCAATTTCGTTGTTTTTCTGGCTCGAGGAAAGGTAACAAGAAGGACAAAGCTGCCTTGGAGGCCAAATCATCTTTGGGAATTTCGGATCAGCAGTTCCTAAAGAGGATTCCTCTTTAATTAATCTCTCATTGACTTTATTGTGAGCACTCCACAGCCAAAGCACAAAGTCACGGGATTTGTTGAAAGGACTAGAAACACTGAAAGGAAAGTCATCGAGTTAGATAAAACAGCATTAAAATTGTAAAAATGGATTAGTTCCAGTTGACTTCACCTTGAACACATATCATAAAAATGTTGGCGACATTCCTCACAGACGAAGAAATTGTGCACAAAATCACATATAGTGGTGAACGCAAAGTTGCTTTCTCCATCCTCAATTCTCACTGAAAGTGAATGCAGAAGAACCCATAACCCACAGCTGTCAAAGATAAAGAGGGTAAAAGGAAATCTAGTTAAATGCATGTTACTGCTGGAATTTTGAATAATTGCATTTATAATCCACATGTTATTTGGAACAACACTAACATAAGAAACATATAGTGCTAGACGAGGTGTCTCCTAGACACAGAGATCTCTAATAGCCCAATCTAAGCTTGTTGTGATCAGTGTTTCTAAAAGCACAATCCACTAGAGACCCATCAAATAACAGTCTAACAGATATTATTGCTAATATCCTTTACAGAACTATAACATTTGATGTTTTTTTGTCATTTCTTCATGGTATACACAAAACAGAATGGTCTCTGGACAACAAGTTCACATGCATTTTACTGGATCGTATTCATGGTCTCACCACCGAACAGTATTTCCCCAAGAAACCAGATGCACAAGTGACCATATGATTGAACTTGGAGCAAGGATGGTGCTCCTTGTCAACTATCAACATTAAAAAAAATCCAAAGTATCTAGAAGCATATGTAAAAGCATCACAGAGAAAACTACTTAACAGGAACATATATTTGGTAATATTGGAAACAAACATTACCTAAAGCCCCTGGTATCATTTTTGCTGCCACGGCAAAACATCTGTGAAGAATACCGAAGAAAAGCATAGGAAATAAGTCGTCTATTTCATAAATTTAAGAACTTTTTTTTTGTTGTTTTTCCTGCCAAATACAGCCTTTTTGAATACCTACCCAATATCCACGAGGAACATCTTTACCACAAATCTGAAATTTCTGCAAGGCCGCCTGTACATCTTGGTCTCCCTGCCTGTCAGCTGCCAAGATATCTAGCGGGTACAAATCATCAAAATTCACAAGCACCTCCGCACTTCCCTTTCGGCACCTACTACAAGTATCTAGGGTGAAACAATGAAATAAAATACTGGGAAATGTGTAAAGAGGAATGAAAAAAGGATTGATCTTTCTTACCTCCTGGAGGGATGATGAGCGACCAAAAGTTGAAGAAATTTTACTAGCGAAGCCCGTGTTTTTGATTTGATCATCTGGAAGATACAGAGATATAGTAAAACATCTGTAATTAAATGTACAAATGACACAAGAAACAACAAAGAGAGGGAAAAAAAGGTGGTCTACCTTGTGCTCTAAGATGATTTCAAAAGCAGTTGATGTTGCTTCCTCAACATCATACACAGCCCGAGCAATCTTTCACAAGTCATGCGTTGCAAAAGTTAGTAACTTGAATAAAGTAATCTACTTCAACTGTAATAGTCCGAAGACAACTTTAAAGCCATGTTATTTAATGACCTGTTCGGGGTCAGACGCATTTGACGAAATATGCTCATTTTCAAATTTCTGATCATCCAAGCTGAAAGAGCTGGAACCACAAAGTGTGTAAGGAAAAAGATATAAAATGCAAAGGGGAAAATTCAACGATGTCTCTGACCCTAATGAAGTGAAATTGTTCCAAATATTCAGTATAATATCCTACTGCAGTCATATTGGTACTAACTGCTGAAGTTTCCATTGTGAGCTAAATTGCTAGGAATTGCATGGGAAAATTCAATGAAAAATCCATGCATTTTGGGGGTTGTAAACTTGTAAAGCATAAGAGCTTTCCTATGATTATAACTGCCTATTGAAAAACATATTTATAAAACCCAAAAAATATATACCATAAATGTTCATAAGGTTGCTACCAATCAGGATGCTTTCTTTGAGTTAAATATTCAATACTAAAACTTTCAATTAAGTAAACAATGAATGTAAGGACCTCATACCTGCCCAATTGCTTGTTGATCCAACTAAGCAACCGATCAGCTGTACGTCCATTGTCAATTAAACGTATATCACTTTTTGCTTGATTAGGTTCCCAACTAGCAGATACAAATTTAGATGGAGGTCCCCAAAGCAGCATAGGATAATGACCGACAGAAAAGTTATCGCAGAGTTTGGTATTTACCTGTGCTTTCAAACAAGTTAAAGGGTAGGGTCTAATGACCGAGCTATGCTTGGTGATAAATTCATAATCAAACATAAACAAAGCAATATGTGAATTCAAAGGAGATGAAAACAGAACAATATCAAACTCAGCATAACGACAAGAACATAGACTAGAAAATTAAACATGAATGAAGCTCTAGTCATGCTATGTAAATCGTATATAAGATGAACTCTCTCCCTCTCTCTTAATGGTGTATTCACATTACTAGACTCTATTTATTTTCTCCCCTTAACAAAATGAAACACATTTACCACTCATCTAGCAACACCAATGACAATTGTCTTAATTTCCTGGAAGCAAGCTGCATAATGTGCAAATGTATAGACATTATAATTCTCAGAAAATAGGCCATCTTTTACAGCGATAAACTCTAAGTTTAAGAAATCAAATTACCATTTCACTCGGGCAGTATAAAGTTCGAAAAGGGTAAGTAAATAGACACACAAAAATGTATATACCTTCGATGCACAGTCCACCCTGGTCATCAAAACCATCCCTGGATGCACAGCATCAGGTCCATTGAAAAGCCTAGCAACCTTTTCGTAATGGGGCTGCAAAATTGAAGTTTAAACAATAAGTTTAGACAACATTAACTATAAAAACAGCTAAAAACACAAACTGGGATTATATCACACCTTGTAATTTCTGCAAGCCGGACACCTGTAATATCAATAACGACAAAAAGATTAAAATCTTCAGAACCAATTAAAAAAAAAACGAAAATTTAGAGATAAAAACAAATGGGTAGCCTCCAAAAGATCTATTATCCAGTGAGTAACACTGAAAGATCAATACTTTCAGCAAAAAGAATACGGGGTTCAATTTATTTCCCTTATAAAATCAAAGGTTCCTATAGAATTTAGAAAAGCTGACCAGTGAGCGAAGAATTCGACTACGGCAAAGGAGGCAGGGGTGTCGCTGAGGACTGCATCGAAGCTGCTGGCGTTCAAATCGACGGCAAAGTCTCGAACATCAGCGTTGTCGTCGTTGACAGCGCGGAGGATCGAGCGCGATCCCGCCGCAGAAGAAGCCGACGCGGGCGCGAGTGCGGAGGTGAACGAAAAGAGGCTCAGAAGCAGAAGGCGAAGTGCAGGAGACATGAAATTGGATCAAATTGTTTGCGGCGGAAAACGAAGCAATCGAAATAGGACCGTTGCAAAAGAGTCGTGGGTTTTGTTGGGGAGGGCGGAGGAGATCTGCGAGCGCGAGTGGAAATTTGCAGAGGAGGAGGAAGGTGTGGTGGGAAGTGGAAATTGGAAAATGAGTGCGTTTTACGTATTAGTTTTTGCAACGCTGCCGATCTCAGCGAACGCACGCCGCGCAGGGGGCACGAGGGTTTTACTCAATTTTTAAGCTTTTGGACCATGCTGTTTATTAAGTTGTTTTTTTTTTCTTTCTTTTATTTAAGTTCGTTATAAAAAATAAATAAAAAGTTTCGAATGACACTCGAGCATGATATTTCTTATTTACGGTGAAAAAAATAAAATCATATTATAATTTTAGAGGCTAAAAATGGCTAATTATAGAATTAACTACTTTCTTAATCAATTAAGTTGGGATTTTCACGTATTTAATTAAGGACAGCTATTTTTGTCCATTGACCAATAACATCTTTTTCTGTTAAATTTCCATCTTAATGAAAAATTATATAAACTATCACATTATTTTTATTTTTTCAAATACAAACTCTAACATTTCTAACGGAGTAGGTGTAAGTTAGTTGGAGTTGGAATCCAATAAGAGTCCTTTGAAGGCTTTGCTATTTAATTAAGTTGACTGAAATGGTCAGAAAGTGAATCTTAATTATTAAATTGATAAAAATTAAATATCGACAAATATAACAATGACATACTAAAAAAAGATTAATGCAACAATTTTTCATACATAGGATGAAGAAATAAATTGATATCAAACTTGTCACTATCAAATTCAAACTTAAACATTTCACGAGTATTCTCAAAATAAAATTAAAAATGAAGGGCTATGCCTATTGCAATAAATAGGCTTTCACTCTTGAGGCCCAAAAAAAACAAAGGAAACATTAACAGTCAAATGCTGAAAGTCCAGTGGGCCGGATGGATGGGCCGGCTCCCAATCATTTCAGTCGACCGGCTGATCCTTATCCACTAGTCAACTGTCCGAAATGATAGACACGTGGCGCCCGTCCAATAACACACGCTAAAACGGGGGGCTTGACCTTGAAGAGTTATACACGAAGCACCAACCGAAAAGCAATTCAAAATTTGGAATATTCGAATTTTGGGTGCTGTCCGAAACTTTCCGGATCCCGTTCTTACCGAACCCTAACGCCCAAATCGGAACTCTCGTCGTCTTCGGCTTTTCCAATTCGTTCTAATTTCCTCTGAGGTACTCCCGCCTCGCCATTTTCTCCTCTTAATCCAATTTTTTGCTAATTTTTCGGTATTTAAAATTTAAATTTAATCCAATTCTCAGTAAATGCTTGTAGTTCATGCGCTTAATTATGTTTTTATGATTATTTTTAAAATTTTATATTTTGATTTGTATCTGTGGAGTGTGTGCTGCGAATTGTACAAATGTGATTGCAATTTGAAATTATCGTAATTTTTTTAATTTTACAGGATCTCCTTTTTCTCTAGTAATTGAGTGCTTTCGACATTCGCTGAGCATGAAGTTTTTGGAATACACCCCGCTGGAGCGGTAAATTTGCAATAGCAGCCACTTAATTTAGTCCATACATTCCGATTCTGTGCGTTTCTGTGAATATAGTAAAGTTCTGGGGATTTACTTTTGCAGATTAAATGATTTCTTTAGTCATTTGAATCTCGGAGAGCGAACCATTAAGGGTTGTCTTGAAGCTTACTCTTGTAAGTACAATTTATTTATTTTATTTTTTTGAATTTTTCCCCTTAAAAATGTGTGTGTGATTTGTTGCAGAAAGACTTAATTTCTGTTATGTTTTAATTACTAGGCAAACACACCGGATCCGATAAGAAATTGTCTCTCAGTTTGGAGAATGAGGTAAAATATAACAATTTTTATAACTCTTTGTAGATTTACTCATCTGTATATGTATCAGATGTATCGATCTGATTATGTATGTAAGCGATCCTTGTTTTCTGCATATCGGCTTCCAGAATCTGAAAGTGTTCCTACGTATTCTTACTTTTCATTCTTTATTTCATTTATTGCCATTCCCATATTTTCTTGCGGTGTAAGTGATAGATTGATCTCTATATTATTTTTCTGTCGAAATTTCAGATTCTTGATTATCTTGGGAAATCGTCTGACAGTGATTCTTCCTCGCCTGCTGAATTCCTGCTGACTAGATCCAGGTGACCTATGTTAATTAGATAGATGTGGAAAGTTGCAGGTTGTTTCTGATCGGTGTTTAATTTGTTATACTTTATGTGCATTCCAGCCGGAAGACATTGATTTACCTGGTTTTGACACTCTATCACTTGTATCCGGACTATGACTTCAGGTATCCCTGTATCTTTGGGCTTTATTAAACATATTGTATTTCATGGAGGCTTGAATAAGAGATTATGGGTAATGCCACGGTCAGCTTATTGGGCGACGTGGCAACCCGCTTTATAATCATCTTCTGTTTGTATTGGGAGTGTTGTCAAGAGGTTTGACAGACAGTTCGAACTGTCGCTCTGCATGGAGCTGAGAGTTCAAGTCTCTCCATTTCCCAAGTGAAAAAAGTTGAACATTTGTGTTGTGGATTTTGTTTTTATTTTGCACTTTACAACTATGAAGTGCATTGTACTCTGATGCATTGACGTGGAGTGCCTTTTTAATAGTGTCCTTGTAGTTTGTATTGGTGTATTGCCTACATCTTTGTGGTTTCCAGTGCAGTAAATGCTCATCAGTTCTTCACAGAGGAAAGCTGGGACAGTTTTAAGCAGATTTTTGATACCTACATGTTTGAAGCATCAAAGGTATTGCTGTGGTGACAAGCGCACTTGCTTTGTTGTATGAGTATATTACTTTTGTGCAGCTACAGTTACATTAACTTTGCAATCCTCCTGTTGAACAATTTAGAGAGACACTAATAGAACCCCCCCCCCCCTCTTCTTTCTCCTCCTTTTCACACAGGCACACAGAGGCACATAGCACTGATAAAAAGGATAAAAATATTTCCTTGCATGCAATACAGGTTTTCAATTGTTTATTTTGTGTGCTCTTAGCTATTCTGAACGATAAAATACAATGTTACCGTCTTTGTTAAAATTTTCTTTTCAATATTTTTCTTTTGGCGTAAGGTAACATTTCATTTTCATTGGTTCATGTTAGATAATAACTTGTTGGTACTCTTTGATTCCTTGCCTTCTCTTCAAATGGACATGAAAATATTCTTAATAGGTGGTATTTCGTTGTTCACTGTGACTAGATGCTGAGTCTAGCGCATTGTCATTTGTCATGTCATTAAGTTTTTATAGAATATTGACGGCTTTATTATGTTGAAGGCGTTGTTGACCTGTTTCTCTGGTTTCTTGGGACAATTCAATTCAGGAATGGACAGAGACAAATGAGGGCAGTTCCTTGCTGGAAGCCCTTTACAAGGCTTTGGATGAGGTAAGCATATGGTCAAGGGAAGTGAATGTAAGTAATTCAAGGAGGCAATTTTCTGATACCTTGCAAATGCAGGTTGTTAGACTAGCGGAATGTGAAGTTTACAGTTACATTCCAGACTCTGATGCCGATCCGTTTCTTGAGAGAGGATCTATGTGAGTTTTCTTTCTGGTTACTTGATACATTTACACATGCACCAAATGTGATGTTTATGTACCATCATCACTATACACCTTTCAACATCATTGGGCTCTTTTGTTTCCTGCAGATGGTCGTTCAATTTTTTTTTCTACAATAGGAAACTTAAGCGTGTCGTGAGCTTCCGTGTCTGCTGTTTAAGGTGGGTAACAATCATCTCAAACTTCTTAAAAAGTTAACAAACTCTCCCACAAAGAACCAACGGCTAAAGGGTTTTCTGTTTACTTGCATTTTTTCGCAGTAACTTGGTGGCTGATGGATATCTGATGGACGAGTTGGGGTATGATGGAGATGGAGAAATTTTCGACAACATGGACATTTGAGCGCAATATTCTGTATTGCTGTAATTTCTGTGCAGTTAATATGTCAAATATACTTGTCAACCATCTGTCGTTCTGTAGCTTTAAGACTGACTGTCCACCCGTACTCCGGGAGGCCTGAGTAGTTGGTTTAGTAATTCGTCACCAAATTTGGATGCTGTTTGTTATGTACGTAAGGCCGATGCTTATGTATATTCGTGTCAAATTCAATAAATTGAGGCTTGTGAAACTCTCGTAGAAGATGTCGGTTACCTACCGTTTAAAGTTAAGAGTAAATTGTACTAATGCTCCTTCAATTTTAATCAAATTGGAGCAATGGTTCTTCAATTAAAAATTCATTATCTTTGGTCCCTTATCTCATCAAAATATGTAGTTATGATCATTTTGGTCAATTTTGTTAGAATTTTGTCAAAATAAGTTATGTTGGAAGGAACATTGCTACAATTGGGGTCTCTTAACTTATCAAAATGTGTAGCTGTGGTCATTTTTGTCAATTTCGTTAGAATTTTGTCAAAATGAGTTATGTTAGAAGGATTATTGCTACAATTAGATTAAAGTTGAGGGATCATTGCTCCAATTTGATTAAAATTAAAGGACTATTTATCTAGTTGGATTAAAGTTATGGAACAAATGGTAATGGATTTTAGTTGAGGTGCACATTTTGATGAGTTGAGGGACAAATGTTAATGAATTTTTAGTTGAGGGACCATTCCTTCAATTGAGTTAGAATTAAAGAACCATTGCTACAATTTATTCTAAATTATTCTTTTGAACTATCAAGTTAGAAAGTAATTGCTATTTTTAAGTTTAAGGGGAATATTTTTGCTCAAGTGATAGTGTTCCTCAAACGCTCTATTTATTACTGTTATATGATTTTAAATTTTGAAATCTGATAACTGTAGACACTAATTTTAAAATTTGAGCTCATCGAATGGTTATAAATAGGGTATTGACCATTATTGCTGGGAACCAAATCCCCTCCTGAGCATTGGGTGGGGGTCCTCCTGATCGGGTCATATGGATCATTGAAATTTGATCAAACGGTTACAATAATTATAACTTTTAGAGGGTCCCTCTGTTTGTAGCCGTTGTATCAAATTTCAATGGTCCAGATGACCCGGTCAGGAGGATCCCCACCCTATGCTCAGGAGGGGATCTGGTTCCTTATTGCTACTATGTATTTACCAGAAATAATAACAAACGTTAGAGGACGCCACTTAATTTTCTGTAATTTTAGACAACTATGCTTACAAAATTGGCATGGGCAGTGTTATTCATACTTTTTTTTTTACCTTCCCACCTTTTTGTTATTATTGTTATTTGATATTTTTCAATTCATTCGATTTAATGGTAAAAATTGAAAAGGGGTGTGGAAGGTATCAATGTATGTTGACCCATCTATAACAAAGTATGTTGTTTGTACTATACCTGACCAATCTTGAAATTACCAAGTACCGGTCAACTTTATACCTTCAAGGACCTACTAAAGAGTTCATGCTGAGGCATCATTGCCGAAGCACAAAATTTTCCCTCCACCCAGAATGTCAATCATAATTCGACACGTGTCAACGTCAAAATAAAACTTTTAGAGTCCCACATTGACGCGGACAAAAGCCAAAGACTCTCATCAACTATAAAAGAAGACTATTCTCCTACAATTAAGGGGAAATGTCATTATTGTACTTAAACTAGTTATTATAACTCACTAATGGTGATTATACTTAAACTTATGTATTTGTGTAAACCCTTCACTATTAATGAGAAATCCTCTACTATGTGGACGTAGCCAAACTTAGGGTGAACCACGTATATCTTGTGTTTGCTTCCCTATCTCTATCTTTTTACATATTAGCCTCACTAGGTGACCGGAGCAACCAAGTGAAAATCACAAACTTGATATTTTACGTTGTTCCAAAGTCTCCCTGATTTGTGCATCAACTTATGTATTAGTTTGTATATTTAAATAGCAACATTTTTGTTAATTAACACATAATTTTCTTTTTCTTTCTTTACAATCACTTGTTCTTTCTCTTTCTTCATAATTACAAGATTATCTACACTAAGGAGTCTTAGCCTCACAGTGGGATAACAATAATGTGGTTCAAATTCACATTTGTCGAGAATCAAACCTAATACATGTCACTTATAAGTGAAGAAGAATATCACTAGACCGTAGTACTAAGTGGTAAGATTTCTTATTCTTTGAATTCCTCTGTTCATTCGAGCAATATTTTAATATAATATGAATTACAAAATGGTGGTTTAATTTTTTTTTTTTAACAAGTTATATTATCTAAATTAAGAGGGTGGATGAATGAACTAAGTCTCACAATAGGCAAACCATAATAATGTGGTTCAAATTCACATTTGACGAGAATCGAACATAAGACATCTTACTTACAACTGAAGATGAATACTACTAAACCGTAATATTAAGTGACTGGTGGTTCAATTTGGGTGCAGAAGAAAACATATTGTCTTACATAACTTAAGAATATTTTTGCTCACATCCTATTTATCATCGTTTGATGAGTTTAAATTTCGAAATCTATGTAGTAGATAGATTACAAATCTCAATAATAAACTCAACCAATGGCAATAAATATGGTGGAGTTTAGAGATTTGTGTAGTGGATAAATCACCAATCTCAAAATTTAAACTCATCTAATAAAAATAAATTAGGTGTTAAACACTTGAATGTGATGAGCGAAAGTGCATCTTACCTAACTTGATTATGCTCAAATGTGAAATAAATTTATATTTAATTACTCTGCTATATAATATGATCTGAATTTAAATTCTTTTTTTTTTTTTGACAAAGTAAAAGACTTGGTGCTCTACCAACCGTGTTCCTTGCTTTACCATTCACATTGCAGTTATGTGCCAAGTCACAAATTAATACAAATCTATCTTTGTCCTTCTCTTTGAAAAAATAATCACTTGAGTCTTGAGAGCTATCACATGGAAATGGATCATCTCGGAATCCCTTCTATCAAATCCACTAATTCGAGTTTTTAAAATTTGATCCAACAGTTAAAGTTATTATAATTTTTAAAGATGACATTTATTTTTAGTCATTGTATCAAATTTCTAGAACCCGAATTTGTGAATTTAGTGAAAGGGATCCGCGTACCACATTAGAGCTACCATACAAATTAATAAGATATTAATCTCCGTATTAATCTAGTATTAACGATCTAAACATCATAAACTGAAACCCAGAAAAATGAAAATCCAAACGAAAAATGATGATTAATTATCTAGAACAAATCTGCTCTTCTTTGATGGTTTCCAACACCGGCTTCCTTGACCTACACGCAGCTAATCTGTACTGAAACTCCGCCACTTGCAACCCCTCTACTCCGTCCAAGCTCAACCGCAATGGACCTTGATGATCACCTTCATGATCTTGATCGCCAAGATTTTCTTTCCCACTTTCCACCGCGCCCACTTCTCCTCCTCCACTGCCGCTCTCCGGCAAGATCCTAACCTGTCCGCCTGATATACGCTTGGCGGCGGAGTTGGCCGCCATGAAGAACACCGCCATGTCAGCCGCCGTGACTATGGAACTGAGCCTCCTCATTGGAAACATGATGTACACGTTCCCAAACTCCAACTCCTCGTCGGCGCTGAGGGCGGAGAACCTCCTGCCGATGTGGAGAGACCTCGAGTTGGCCAAGAAGGTGTTGGGACACTCCAGCATGAGCTCCGCCGCCTTAACCATCTCCCGGAACTGCCGAACGTCGCCGTTGGGGAAGATCACCCTCGCTGATTTGGAGCTCTTGATCATAGGCGTGGCCAAAGTGCATGAGATGTAGTTTCCCATTTGAGAGTCTAGAGAGAGAAAGTAAGAGAGAGAGAGAGAGAGAGAGAGAGAGAACCCGAACGTAGACTTTGTTGAATTGGAGTTTGGTTAGACAGTTGGTTGGTTTGTGAGAAAAGGTTGTGCAGGGTTTTTATACAGGGGAGAGAGAGTCAATCAAAGTCGGAATATTTCTAATATTATAAAGACAAACACTCGTTTTTATATAAAATAATAATATAAAAAAATGATATCATGTGTGTTAAAAAATTAGGCTTGTGGAAGTGGCGTGTGGTGCTTACTTGTTTGGTACTTTACCAAAAATACTTGATTACAAATTTGCTCCTTGATTTTTAGTGGTTGCTTCACTTTGCTCCTCGAATAATTTCTTTTGTCCAAATTTAGTTTTTAAACTTGCCAAATGTTTTAAACACGTACAATATGGTGATGTCAATTGTAAAGGGTGTCGAGAGTTGATCATCCCACATCGGTGAGAGAAAAGTTTAGTTAAGGGCTTATATGATCTTGAGCTACTTTCCATATTACCAATTGGTTTTATGATGGAATCTTAATTTTACCGAAAGGAAAAAACAGCAATAGAGAGATTGGTAGCGTTGTGTGTGTCAAAGTTTTTGTATATTCTGTAAAAAAAATAAACGCCTAATTACAGACTTAAGCAATCATGTATAAGTAGATGTGGAGCATTTTGGTCATAGTCGATGAGTTATTAAAATGCCCTTCCAAATGCGGTCACATTTCACTCTGTCAAAGTTGATAACGAAACTTATTTTCTGTTCTCATTGGGCACACTTTCAAAGTTAAAAAACGAAATTGGAACGAAAAAAAAGTCGAGGGACTAAAGTGAAAAAAGAAAGAAAATTAAAAGTTGGGAAAAGGAGGCGAAGGAGCATGTGTTTCAAACCTTCGTTGTCTTTCCGGTTTCCGTCTCCTCTTTGTCATGTGAATTTTCGCTGTGAATTGCGCGTGGGACCCAATTCTGACTTCCGACTTCCAGCTATGGTGGTGATTCACCGGACTCGCTCCGCCCGACTGTTTACTAGAAGCTTTAGGGAAAATTCGAAGTCAACTGGAGTTGTTCAACGCGGACCAAGGACCGAGTTTATCACCCTGATCATTGGAAACGACAGAGTCTAATGCGTCGTCCATTTGTCGGAAGAGGATTCTTTCCAGATTCACTTTGTGAGATCTCTAAATCTTAGTCGTTCATCGTACATCGTGCGATCAGTTTTCGGCAGATATTATTTGTGTTTAATTTTAAATAAAAAAAATCAAATAATTTTTTATCGCACGATGCACGATGAATGACTAAAATGTGAGGATCCCTAGGATTCCCACAATTTGGATCCGGATTGGATCCAAATCCCATTGGTTCACTCTTTTGTCATTTGGAGATTTATTTACTCGTTTTTCATTTTTTACGTGATGAAATTGCCTTTTAATTTCTTCCAAAATACATTGTTTAAGTTACTTCTTGATGATGGATTTCATCCATGGATGAAAAAAAGTTTAAATTTTCCTTTTTGAATCCTAAGGGTGGTTGTTTCGAGCAAGGAAATGATTTCTGCACATTTTGTGTGTTTTTTACACACTCGTGTTTAATTATGCATATTATTTTCGTTTGATTTATTTAATCAGACAACTATACAAAAAGATGAGTGAATAAGAAGCTAAATCAAACAGTGTGAAAATAAGACCATTTCGAGTATATAATTAAAGGAGGGGAGCATCAAATTAAACACATGACCTTGATTGTAGGACTAAGTGTTTTTAATTATGTAATAGATTTGTAACTTAAATGATTAAGACCATTTATCTTTCTACCGAGCTCGCGGGTCAAATTCCCCCTTTCCTACTATAACTTGTGTTAAAACATCAAATACCATATTATTAGTATATGCATAAAGTTGGAATGGCCGGGGGCGTTCACATTGTTGACAATATTATTTGTCGGTGGGTTTCACACACACACCACGCCCAACACGGTTGAGAAGGTGTTTTCGTCATGAATCAAATGGGATCATACAGTATGCGGGTAATACGGATAAGCAAGGTGTCATTTCTTAATCAACGTCCGACACCCTATCCTAATCCCATCCCTAATAATAATCAATCCAATCGATCCCCCACCAATTTTCTGTCTCTATTTACTAACTTTTATAGTGGATTTTCAACTGAAAAATTTAGTGAGTTAACTATGTTTAACCAACCAATCAATTACGACAAGTGGTCTAATGACATAGTGTGAACAACAATTATTTAAAAGATAAAACGGAAGGTCCTGAGTTTGAGACTTTGTAAGTTGTGAATCTGTTTGATTGTGGTCATGAGTATGATGCAATTCCTAACTAGTCTCATTGAGATCCGAAAAATATGGACATCTGTCGTTCTTCACTAGTTGTCATCCTAACAAAAACCCCAACCAATCATGTGTACGGTACGCTAGCTACTAGTACTTACTACTTAGTATTAATTTGGTAGCAAGTCCTCGTCAAATTTACGTTTGAACTTTAATATGTATTTATAATATTGCTGTTTGCATATGTTATTTTGTATTTAATTGATTAATATATAAAATAACAGATAATTATACTAAATTTAATTACTTTTAGTGCGTACGACTTGAAAACTGTCTCTCTTATTTGGCTTGAAGAAGTGACTTTTGTCTGGAGATTTAAAACGTTAATATGGTCATATGATTTGAGATATATAAAATGAATTAGATGGACCCGAATATGAATTAGAACGGACCAACAACGTTGTACTATGGGCATGACTAGGAGTCGAACCGTGGAAATTTCTCAAAATTACAAGATTGTGTTGAACCATCAATAGAGTTTGTAATTAGTTTACTCATGATCAAGGGAAACAATCAAACAAGAGAGGGTGATGTTGACTAAGGTCTTCAAATTAAGGTCATCTTCAACCGACCTAGTCAAAGGGTTATAGGGCTAAAAATAGTTTGGAATGTCACAAAAACCGTTTCCAATTGAGGGCTAGGCCAATGGGCTTATGGGCCTCACCAGGCCAAAACCACCAAATCAGGCCAGCAAGCTAGCCATTTCCAGTCAACCATCCAGCTCAACCCTCTTTGAATGCCAACCGTTGGAATTTGAAATATTTTTTTTGGACGAATTAAAAAAAAATCTAATTTTTTCCCTATAAATACCTAAGTCATTCCTATACCATTTCTCACATACTTTTCACTTTAGGGTTACTCATTTTCGCGACACGTGTTACTCGAAATTCTATCCGAAAAATTATTGAGATTACATAAAGATAAGAAATTTGGAGAGTTACTCACGTTAGCGACACATGTCACTCGAAATCCTATCTAAAAAATTATTTAGATTATATAAAGATAAAAAATCCGGATGCTTATTCATTTGGCGACAAGTGTCACTCAAAATATGTCCAAAAACCTTATTTTTATGTGGTAGTTTAATTTAATTAACTATATTAATTCGATTAAAATAATAAATTATGTTTGATTTATGGCTCTTTGGCCTTTTCGGTTGGAGATTATTTTTTTGTCAAATAACTATGTTTGACCTATGGCTCTTTAGCCCCCTTGGTTGGAGATGATATAAAATATGATAGGATACTGTTCATTAAAATATAATTTATTTCAGGACTATAAGGTTAAAGGAGCCCTTTGACCCTTCTTTGATTGGAGATGGCCTAAATGGTCTAATTTGAGATTTCTTGCCAGCCCGCAATGCCTTGGATATGATCTTTAAGCATGCCCTTGGATATGATCTTTAAGCATGCTCAGATGGATGGAAGAAATCCCAGAACAAAAACTCACTGGGCTTCGAACAAATCGTATAGCCTTCGTTCCAGCACTGAATCGATTCTTCCTCACTCAGATCAATCAGTTAATTAGCATGTTTGTTTTTAATATAATATCAGTTACCATACTAAGGTGTAGGAGTGGCTTGAAATTACTAAACAATGTCATAGACTGCATCATAATCAATGAAAGCGTTGGGGTACTTAATCTATTTGTACCATGTTTCTAATATTGATGAAACATATATGCATTAGTAGGCTTTGCCTCTAAATATAGCACTACTCTTTATAATTGTAAGTTTTAATCCACAATTCCGAATATTCAAACTACCATGCCAAGAAAAAATATTTGGGTTTTTCTAAAAAAAATCATATTTGGTCCACTTGAGGTAACATTGCAGCCCAACTTCGTAGACGGGGCTATTTTATCAAAGGTGGCTAGTTTCTCGTGATACGACCCGGGCCATCGTTTTATTTGAGTGTTTATCATTAATAGCAAAAACTTAATATCCAATTTCATAAATATTAATTTTATTTTAAAAAAAACTTTCAAGCAGAAAACTCATATGGATAGACCTAGATACCCTCAAAATCTAAAACCTAACACTTAAATAGATCTCATCGGCATTGTTGTTCAAAGTGCGAGGCCACCAGAGAAGGATTTTAAGGGTAAGGACGCTGCAGCCAGTAAAACATCCTCTACAGTCAAACCTAATGTCGTGAGTTCCACAGAGAACTAGTTGAGTAAGTTGATTGTTTGAGAAGAATCACTCTCTAATTCAACAAAAGCGAAACACATTCTCCTTGCAAGACTAATACCTTCAAGTGCCGCCAACATTTCAATCTGGGTAACAGACCTAATTCCTACATTGTTCCATGCACCAGCAACAGCAAATTAAAGCAACTTGCCAATCCCTAATAATTACATCCACTCCTCCCAGACTACTCTCTAACCTTGTAGCTCCATCCACGTTCACCTTAACCCAATTCTCTCCAGGAGTCTTCTACCGATGTTGCAAATTTGCCGTGGCGACGACGAGCGAGAGACAGCTGCCATAAATTATTGTAACCATGCAATAGCCCACTAAACAACATCAAATGGGTGACCAATCCTACCTTTCCACACTCTAGAATTTCATGCAAACTGAATTAAAATTCTTTGGTTTATATTTATTTGGTTTTAGTTGTGAGGGTTTAATCTCTTCAAACAAAAT